GCAAGTATCTCCATAAGATAGCCTGATTGAGTCCATCTGTGCATCCGTCCATCCATCCATCCAGTCACCCACCCACCCACCCATCCATCCATCCATCCATCCTCATCATCCATCCATCCATTCATCTTTCACTCATTCTTTGGGACATTTATGGTCAAAGACTGGTTGAGTACATGTTGTGTGACAGTCACCACATTAAACATTAAGGTTCAATGAAGACTTCATGGGGCTTATTCCTCAAAGAAGAGAGAGAGCTAGCAATCAGTACACACACACAACTCTGAGATGGTGACTGAGCCACTTGTCTTTCAGGGGTGGTCACTGTATTTTGAGAGCCTGAAATGTGGGCACTTCATCCAGGCAGGGTGAGTTCCCCAGGAAGTTGCAACCTGAGCCCCAGAAGGTGGAAGGACTTGGCAACTGAAGCCACAAGGGCAGATGTTCCAGGTTCTTCCACAGGGTCGAGTTCTGAGTAGATAAGAAGGCAGTATAACTTTACATTTCCAAGTGTACAGAACTGGTCTACAGCCATACCACCCTGAATGCACCCAATTTCATCTCCAACTGTACAGAACTGTGGCCTGTTAAGCAGTTTGCATAATGGCTTCCACAGATGTTTTGGAAAGTTCTACCATATGTCCTAGAGTTCCTGTTTTCTTTCTGGAACTTCAAATACAAATCCTTACCCCAGTGTTATTTCCTACTTAAGAAATAACAATTGGAGATAGGGGTGGGGTGCAGGCCTATAATCTCAGCATTCTGGGAGACTGAGGTGGCAGCATCCTAAATTCAAGCCCAGCCTGAGACATTAAGTATCATAGTGAGAACTTGCTTCAAAATAAAATAAATAAATAAAAACAGGGCTGAGAATGTTGATCAGTGCCCTGGGTTCAATTCCTAGTATCACCAAAAAAAGAAGGTAGTAATAACAAGGACTGGGGCTGAAGGGCACATGCCAGGCCATGGATTTGACACCCAACATCACAAAAATGTAAAAAGAAATAACAATTAGACAGGAGAACCCTGTGGGCAGTGAGAATTCCACCAAGGAGAGCAGCATTTGCACCCATTTGGAAGAGAGATTGTGAGTGGTGTTCTGGGAGAAGTCCTGGGAGGGCCCAGAGGGCTCACCAGATACACCCATTCACACGTCAAGTCTAGTTTGGGCCCTTGTGTCAGTGCCCTCTCCCAAGTGTCCCTGGGACCAATGCTTTGGCAGGAGCCAAGCAGAGGAAGCAGGTGACTCGTGACTCATTCCTTGAAGGCCTTTTGGGAAGGTCACTGAGTGTCCACCTCACCTTGAGACCCTTCCAGTCCTATGGGGACATGACCATCTGAGCCTGGGACAGGGCCTTTGTATAGAGTGATACACACTGTTTCCAAAAGTAGATCTTATAGCTGGCCAGTCCCATGGGCTGTTACAGAAAAAGCAGGAATGTGGCATAGTTAACTAAGTTTGTGGAGTATTGATCCATGCAGGGTTTATCTGCAAGATGTTTTAGATCCTTGATGTGTGTGGATGGATTGCCAGTGATAAGAACAGGGCGCTGCCCGCATCCCATACATCACTGACCTTTATTTGCAGTGTGGCCAACCCAGCCTGTGAAACGCATGTGGGGAATGCTGCGCATTCCCAGTGTGCAGATGTCTACAGACTCTGCAGTTTGATAGCTGCCAATCAAGACCTCCTTTCACTAATGGAAATAAAATAGGAATTTGTGGTGAACAACATGTAAATAGCCAGGATACCACTGGACAAACACCACCGTGCTCAGCTCCAGTTCTGACACATTCTTGATTTCGTAGGTTACAAAGTGAAGGAGATGCTCCAGTAGGAGATGGAATGACCCTACATGCCCTGGTCTTGAAAGGTCCATCAGGATTTAGATTCGAAACCCAGGTGAAGAGACTGTTCTCAGAATAGTCAACACTATCGCCAAAAATAGGAAGTGTTCCCTTGGGGAGGGGTGAGAGGTGACCACCTTCCCCACCCTGTCCTCTATCCCCAGTGCCTCTCTGCAGCTCCACCTGGAGACTCACGCCTCACATCTCAGACTAATGCATGGCTCCAGCCAAAACACCCTGGCTCGTCTTTTTCTGAGCTTTCTGTCTTTCTAGTTCACACTCTGCCAGGCAGAATGATGGTAGAGGGGTGAGGCACAGGGGTCACAGCCACACTTTATTTGCTGATGGTTTAGCTCATGCTGAATTAAAGCCAACAGGAGAGTGGTGTGGGTAGGAGGGAACTTAATTCTAGCAGAGTAGGTTATGCTAGAGCGGCTCAGGGAAGGCAGGCCGAAGCCCTGCGGGTTGGGGATGTCGCTCACTGGGAGAGGGGCCATCTCTCCAGCCCTGCAGAGAAAGATTCACAGCTGATTCTTTGGGACACAGACCCCTCTTGCACCTGCTGGTGTGAAGGAGTCTCTGGAGCCATCAATGGACCAATGACTCTTGGGTGACAATGAGTTGGAAAACCACTGTCTGGCAGTTCCCAAAGCTTCTTCATATTCATGTCTCATTCCATCCGGGTAGGAAATGCGGGCTGTGGCAATGGGTAAGTCCCACAGCTCTTGGGTTCCTGCCATCTTGCAACTCCAGCCCTGCAGTGGGCTTGGGGGGACAGCTGCCTGGGAAACCGCCCGATGGGGCACCCCCGGGCTGGCCCAGTTGGCCAATGCTCTGCCAAGTCACCCCACTGCTGTTACCTCATTCGCTCTCAGATGGCACTGTGTCTCCAGGAAGTGTGTGTGCAGGTGACGGGCGCTGTAGCTTTAAAACTTCTCCATCTTATCTATCTTTTTCTTTTTTTCTTTTTTTTTTTTTTCAAACAGGGATTGAACTCAGGCCCTTGTGCTTGCCAGGGAAGCGCTTATTCCACTGAGCCATCTCCCTGGCCTCCTTTTCCATCTTTTAACAAAATGAAATTTTTTAGTCCTAATGCAGAGAAGAAAGTGACATCAGTATCAACCCTCTGGGACAGACACTGTGAACATTCTGATATGTGACATCAAGTCATTTTTCTGTGGGCAACTATTTTTTCTTGAATTTTAAAAATTCACATAAAATGGTACAAATGTATGAGCTACAATGTAGAGTGTCAGGTCATTTATACTTTGTGTAATAAAGAAGGATGTTTAAGAATAAGGAACGTCAAGGACAAGAACTCTGGAGCCAGACTACTGGATTCAGATTTGGGCTGTGCTACTTATTAGCTGTGTGACCTTGGGCAAGTTAATTAACCAATCTGAACTTTAGATTCCTCTTCTGTGAAATGAGTGTAATACCAATATACCACACTTAGTGCTTCTAAGTGTGAGGATTACATAAACTATTAGTGGAAAGGATATGACCTGGTGCTTGGCATTAGGGATTATCACTATTTGTGGATGGCACTATTATTCTGAGTGTATATTGTGTCCCAGTTGTCATACGAAGCTCCTTGCAGGCATCATCTCATTTAGTGTATTCATCAACCCTCTGAGGTCAGTCTTGTAATCATCTGTAACTTGCAAATAAGGATCTGAGACTCGGAGAGGGAAGGTAGCCCGCCCATGTCACATAGCAAGGAAGTGGCAGAGCTGAATTTGAACTCCTATCCATTTGACTGCAAAGCCTGCCCCTCCTGCCCAGTAGCCTGATCTGCCCTTATCAAGGTTCTTTCCTGTGTAGGGGCCTGTGCTTTGGACTCCTGCCTGACGCTCCCAGTTAAGCTGACTGTGGTAGCGTGCACCTCTCATCCCAGCTGCTTGGGAGTCAGAGGCAGGAGGATCACAAATTTGAGCCCAGCCCCAGCAACTAGCAACTGAGACCCTGTCTCAAAAAAAAAAAAAAAAAAAAAAAA